AAACCAAGAAAATATTTAAGTTTGCCAAGATCTTTGAGCTAAAATTGGCTATGTAGAAATGACTTCAAGTTATTAATAACCTGTAAATCTGATCCGATGATGACTATATCATCGATGTACACTAGCAACGCAACAAAGCTACTTCCGGAACCTTTAGTGAACAAAGAGTAATCAGATTTAGACCGCTAGAAACCATGTAGTAAAAGGGCATGAGAAAATTTCAAAAACCACTGTCTTGAGGCTTGTTTCAAACCATAGATAGATTTATCTAGCTTACATACCAAACGATTTACATGATTTTCAGAAGGGATGGGAGGATCATAACCCAAAGGTAAATCCATGTAAATTTCTTCAAAGAGATCCCCAAGAAGAAAGGCGTTATTGACGTCCAATTGAATAATGTGCCACTTGTTAATGACAGCAATGGCTAAGAGAAGCTTCACAGTGACCAATTTTGCAATCGGAAAGAATGTTTCCAAGAAGTCCAATCCCTCTTGTTGAGTGTATCCTTTGGCCACTAAACGATCTTTGTATCTATCAACAGTACCATCAGATTTATACTTGATTTTGTACACCCATTTACAACCTATGGAATGTTTTCCTTTAGGCAAGTTCGTAATGGACCAGGTTTTGTTGGAGTCCATGGCCGTTAACTCATTTGCCATAGCCTCTTTCCAATGGTCATATTTTACTGCTTGATGGTAAAATTGTGGTTCAGAGTTTGAAGATACATTGAGAAGAAAGTTACTGTGGGATTGAGAAAATTTAGTATATGAAAGGTAATCACTAAAGCAATATGGACAGGAAGATGATGCAGCATGGTTAAGATTTTTAGATAGGAAATTGCAATGGAAATCTTGAAGATATGAGGGAGGTTTACTGATTCTAAGAGATCTTCTGAGAAGAGGGTCGCTAGATGGGGGTATGATATCAGAAAGGTTTGAACTTGGAGGGCAACTAGAGGACATTTCTTTAGTAGAGGTATGTATATCTGTAGCAGGATGAGGCAAGATCAGGAAAAGAGTCAAAGATCTTAGAATTTTTGGAGACATAGTGGAAAGGGAATATTCGTTCATGAAATATCACGTCTCTTGAAATAAAAATGGTTTTGGATATGATATCATACAAACAATATCCCTTGACACCAGGGTGATAACCAATAAACACATAGGTTCTTGCTCTAGGATGAAACTTTAGGTGATGAGCTGTGAGAGTAGATGCAAAACAAAGGCTTTCAAATACTCTAACAAAGTTGTAGTCTACTGAGGAGTTGTAGAGTAGAGAAAATGGTGTCTTGTTTTATAAAATTGGTGAAGGAGTTCTGTTAATGAGGTACGTTGCCGTGAGGACACAATCAACCCAGAATGAGATAGGGACT